AAAAAATAATAAAATAAGAGATACTTGTGGCAAAAAAAAAAAATTAATTCTAGATACCTTGAATCCAGACGATAAAGGGTTGTCCAAATAAAAAATAAAGCTGTGAAAGAAAGAGCTGTGCCACATGAAATTAAACAGACTTATTGGTGAGACAAATGACTCTCAGTCCCCAAGTGCCTGGTTGAGGTTTTCCCCAACAGCTTTGAATTTCAACTCTAAACGACAAGCCTAGAATGGCTTGATCCCGGGCCACTTGGTGAGACACTGCTTGCAATGAGCAAGGCTATTTTGATAATACTGCTTCGCTAAAGCTTTAATGTGTGTGTGTATGTGGGGGGGGGGGGGGGGGGCTGCCTCTGCTTCGCTTTACTTTGCAGTTTCTATTGACTCAAGGACTCACTCGGTCCTCATTCTGGAAAGATAGATGAAATCCTCTCCTGTCTTACTTTCTCAATGATATACATTTGAGAATAGCATAGAAGTAATTTTTTAAAAATATATTTTATTGATTTCGTACAGAGAGGAAGGGAGAGAGATGGAGTTAGAAACATCGATGAGAGAGAGAGTCATCAATCAGCTGCTTCTTGCACACCCCCAACTGGGGATATGCCTGCAACCAAGGTACATGCCCTTGACCAGAATCAAACCCGGGACCTTTCAGTCCCCAAGCCGACGCTCTATTCATTGAGCCAAACCGGTTTCGGCAGTAATGTTTTGGTTTTTTTTAAACTTGAGTTGGATACTCTGAAATGCTCTCTAACTGCAAGTCTGCTGTCTAAAGCTACAAGAATTATTCTATTCGGTTCATATGTCAATTTGCCAGAGCTATTGAATGGAGTAAGAAGTATTATCAGAGAAATAGCTTTGTGATATGATTAATATAATATAAACCTCTTATTTATAACTATAATATAAACCATCTGTTAAAAAAAAGTAAAAATTCCAAAAAATTAAATACAGAAAATAAAATGTCTATCTTTGACCAGCAATTTGCTTGTTATTGTTCATTAAGTACCAGTGCACAGATGAACTGGCATGAATACAAAAATCGATGGCAATCTTCACAGCTGTATGTAGGATGCAACTGATTTTTGGCATGCAGCTAGAACATTATGTGTTTTGTTCCCATGCTCTGTAAAATGTGTAAAATTTGTGTTTTATGAAAACTTCTCACAGGGTACAAATAAAATTAGTTTTATGAAATGTTACAATAACACACAAAATATGCATTTTGTACAAGCACAAAAGTACCAAAGTAAACATGTTCAAATGTTTATCTGTGAAAGGAAATGGGGAATGATAATTTCAGAAGTAGAATTTCATTAAAGAGACAATATGAAGAGAATTTACCAGTCTCTCTGCAGTGATAATCACCAAATTTATATTCAAGTGATATTGCCAGTCAGTACACATGTATCTACACAAACTGGAAAGTGGTTTTTAAGAGAGGGTGAATACTACCTGTTTTCAACTTTGAAAATTAGACAATTTATTTTGCCACATGTTTATAGATTTCATGATTAATAGTTTAAATGTATTTGGAGAAATATATTTTATTCTATGACTACTCTTAAAGTTGTGTAATATTCTTTGCACATCCACTTCTCCGTTTTGATTGACTTTGTATTTAATGATTCGTTTTACCTGTATATATGACACTTTTCATTTTCTGAAATCAACGAAGTCCTAATCGTCAATGTTTAAATGTCTTAAGGAAATGTAATTGCATGTGTGTGATTGACTGCTATCCTTTGAAGAAACCCCTCCTTCTGAGACTTTGTGGCAGGCAGCTGAAGGATCTTACCTCCTGTAACAGACCGCTCTATTGCAGGCAACAAATGTAGCGCATTTACACTTCCATGAGATGTAGGAAAAGACATCTTTGTGTAGATGTGGATGATGGGTGGCACAGCATTGTCTTTCTGGGAAGAGAAGGATATCTCTTCCTCAGGGCGCACACTGTTCCAAGCCAGAGCACAAAGGCTCACAAGGTGAGCTTGTTGGACTTCAGCCCCGATTGCCTCCTCCCCGGGCACAGTCACCCATGACCGTGGCTAAAAGCAGCAAAATGAAAGTTCAGGAAGTTTAAGTGTTTCAAACCAGTATTCAAACCCAAGTCTCTTAAGGATCAAGGCCCTTCCTTCTCTTCTCTTCCCGTTTCCATGAAAGATGGTCATCACTATCTGGTTAACTTCTTTAGCACTTCCTATATGCCTTATAGGCATGCAATATGCCAGACATCCTGCTATAGAATGCTTCACAGGCACATTCTATTTAATCTTAAAATACTAGTCCATTCTATTTTTCATATGAGAAACCCGAAGTTTATAAATGAAGCAGCGTGGTGAAGGTTATCTGGCTGGTGAATTTTGGGATGAAGTTTCCAGTTCCTCTAGTTGACTCCAAACCACAAGTGCTTAACCATGGCATTGTTTGGTGTAACTGTAACCCTCCATGAGCTGGGACTGTGGCTTGGGATCTTGCTGTACTTCTGTGTACGGTGAATGGACATAGAGGTAGCTTCAGTGTCATACTCCTAGGCCGCTCCAGATCCTTTGACTCAGAGTCTCCATAGCAATCTGCATTTGAACAATCCCCCTATGATCCTTAGACAAATAAAAGCTTAGGACACCTAACTTATCATAGGTCATCTGTGCCTGAAATTCTGTAGTGACTTTCTTCTGCCTATATTATAAAAAAAAAAACTAAACTTAAATGCGTCACATTGCAAAGATTTGCTTTACCTGAAATTTGCTCTCTCATCCTTATACTTATTACCTAATCATACAAAACTTTGTGTTAAAATGATACTACTAATATCTAAAATTTCCAAGTAGGTACCAAATTCCATTTACTATTATGAGTATTAGCAAAATATATCACATTTAAGTATCTTCATACACCTGTGGGGGTAGGTATCATTACTATTCTAATATCCAGATTAAAATTCAATTAATTAAACATTTACTTTATATATAAGATATTTGGCTAGAAGCAGTAAGACATGCAAAGATAAATTAAACAAGGCTCTAACTTTATGAAACCTAAGTTATTAAAGATGCTAAGATTCACTAAAAAATCATCATGTTACCTACAAGTGTTCATTGGATATTAATGACTAGGCAACTCCCTTAGACCAATATTTTCCATTCCTAGAAGTTATGCAAATGACCACCAGATAGAATAAAATATATTTCTCCAAATACATTAAAATAAGAAACACCCTAAAAGTCAAAACTTAAGTATTGTGTTATATAAATTATATGTATGCACACATGTAATGAAACATCATTAATACTGATTATTTAAACAAAGATTCATTGTCAAAAGGAATGCCTGATATTTTGTAAAAGAAAAAATGGAGGTGAAAATGTGATGTTTACATATTTATCCTAGACTATAGTGCATTTTTTATTTCTTATTATAGTTTCCCTAAATCCAAATATGGTGATATAAAAATCCAGCTATTGTAATCCACAGAGTTTAACTGTTAATGATCTAATTCCTCACAGGGAGAGAGATGGTTTTTTTTTCCACATGTGCAATATTTCAGTGAAGTGAAAAAAAGTATTCCCAAAGAAAATGTGCATGACACTGTTTAAACATTTATTGATAAAGATATATTTATTAAAACCATAGCTTCTAAGCTTTTAAAGCTTCAATTTCTACAACAGTAAAGTGTCTCTGTCTCTTACAGTCCTCACCACTGACCTCCCCCGACCCCCAATCTTCCGGGTTTTGAAGAAGCAGATCATTCAGTTTCTGAGTCCTATATGAAACTAGAGCAAGTAGGATTTGCTGAAGGGTTCTAGGGCTTCACCTATCATTTATCTATGATTAACTCACACATCTTACTGCTTGACATTTGTGACCCATTTGGCTGACCTCAGATTATTTCTACATTCTTCAGAATTTCCCCTTTCCTCTGGAAAACGGAGCTTGCAAGATTAATGAATTTTGTATTTAGTGAGATGTTACTTTCTGAGAATGTATATGTATGAATATGGCAACACTCCAGAGGCATTTTGTGCAATTTTTTTCTTGAATGAGATGAGAATATCATCATGATAAATAACCATTTTGTCCATGAAGAAAACATGTGCTATGGGGGTTTTGTCTGTGTATTCTTCACCTTGTCATTTCTAACTAACCTCAGGATATCTGCTCTGTCACAAACACTAGGATAATACATTCTGAAATTGTTTTTATTCTCAGATTCTTTTTTCTCAGAGGCTCAGATGAATGTGTGGACAAAATCTGATAAGGGCCTGAATAAATCCTAGGCATGGGAGATTCCTTAGAACATTGTATATCTGATTTAGACAACAGAATGCCCTTTTTTCACCAGGTTACCTGCCCATTTTTGGAACTTTATTGTGAGGATCTTATATATCACAATATTTTAAAAATACGGTATAACTTTTCTTATAGTATGTCTCTCCGTTAAGCCCTAAGTCACATGTACCCATAAAGACCTGAAAGCCTTGGCTAGCATCGGCCCATGGACAGAATAGTCATGGGTTCGATTCCTAGTCAAGGACACGTACTTGAGATGCATATTCAATCTCCAGTCCAATGATTGGGGCGTGTGCAGGAGGTAACCGATTGATGTGACTCTCTCACATTGATGTTTCTCTACCTCCCTTTCTCTCTCTCAACCCCTCCCTTCCTCCTCCCACTCTTTCTAAATAAAATCAATGGGGGAAAATATCCTGAGTGAGGATTAATTATAAAAAATACCCAAAGAGTCTATCGAATATTTTATTTTTATTCCTGTAGAATACTATATGAAGTCTCCTTCTGCTCCAAAGATTTTGTGATCCCTGGGGCTTGATATAAGAGAGTGGACTGAGAGAGAGAAAGAAAGAGAGCTATGTAGAAGGGGCATGATAAAAGGAGCTTAAGGGATTATTTTGACTTGTCACTAATATTGTCCTTGAGTGTAAGCTGCTAAACTTCTTAGAACTGATGAAGTAAAACAGCAAAAACAACCACACAAAAGAGAGCAGAGGATCCCCAGACAGGCTGACAGGACACAGTACCCATAAGGCAGCCAGTGATCAGTGGCCATCAGTCTGTCTTTTGGGCTGTAGCACCTGCTACTAATTGCTGCGAAGAGCCCAGCCGTCACCGCGTGGTTTAGCACACTCAGCTCTCCCTGGGTGTGCTGTGAGAAGCAGGACAGCTAATTGCTGTTGCTTCAGCACCAGTGCATCGACATGCTGAGCTAATAGCGACAGATAGAGGGCAGACAGATTCCGGCTAGCAGCTTCTAGTTAGTTTGCTTGTGATAACTAAGGCAGTTGGCATACCTCTCAGAACGGGGAGAAAGAAAGATTGTATGCCTCCTGGGTTGATTATATTGAGGTGATTTTTTTCTCCTCTGCAACATTTTCCTGATGACACAAGACTGGATATTAATGCCTCACAGAATCAAGGAGTGTCACCTGTGAACGAATCGCCTTGGACTTCGCTGATGAGCACGGGCTGTTTTGGAAGGGATGTGCAGGAGGCAGCCTTGGCCAGAAAACTTGCTGCTTAATCTCACATGGGCTAAAGATGAAACTTTGAACCTGCAAGTAAGTTCTTTCGCCCCCTCCCTCCGCTCTATTTTCTTACTCTGTCACAGTTAAGGCAGCAGCAAAGCGCAGAGAAAGTTAAGAGCTTGTTTCAGGGCAATTGGTCTCTGTGATGATATTACTTTCTGTCATGCTCATTCAAAGAACAGAGTGGTGATGATGTGTGAGTAATTATCTTCCGGGAGGACCAGCAGCACTCCTTGTCCTCTCGGTTTTCTAATTACTGTGTGGTCTTGTAGTTTTGTTGAGGTGTCAGTGTAATACTTAGACACACGCTTTTGAATAATAACTGTGTGTTGTTTTGTTTTAATGTCACTCTTCATCCACTTTCTTTGCTTCTCTCTCTCTCTCTCTCTCTCTCTCTCTCTCTCTCTCTCTCTCTCTCTCTCTCTCTCACACACACACACACACACACACACACACACACAACGTGGAAAAAGAGCAGAGGTACTGGCATGCTATGTTTAGTTTTTGAGTGTGCAAATGTGTGTGTGTGTGTGTGTGTGTGTGTGTGTGTGTGAAGTTTTGTGCATGGTACTTGCTAGAGGTTATAGTCAGTGGATAAGTTAAAGTGGCTAACTCTGCCTCACATTGAACAGCATTATCTTTTGTGTTTTGTTATAGAGTGTCCTGATATTTCACAACAGATGTTTTAGTGCCTTAGAAAATCTGCTCCTTTCTGAAAGTGTGTGGGATCATTTAGAAAGCAAATCCAGATGGATTTATCCTTATAATACAAAGTTAATACCATCCAGCACTAGCAACTTTCCCACTTTGTGGTGTAGCCTTCACGTTTAAGAACACACTTAGGTTGTTATAGGAAAGGAGGGCCCCGAGTAATGAGTTTCAGGCCCCATCTGCTGCCACTCTACGGCGTATCTCTCCTATGCACAGGTGGCCATCGGTAGCATGGACTGGTTGCATGTATGCAGACAGCCATTGTTAACCAGAGGATAGTATGACAGCCTCATGTAAGGTTAACTCCAAGTCCTTACTCACTGGCTTTCGCAAATAAAGCTAATTGTCAAATGTAGTAACCAAATACTTTAGGGGTAGAGTTATTGTGTTGCTTAACATCAGAGAAGCAAATAATTCGTGGAAGAAGCATACAATGCTTGCTGTAGTTTTTTACAGCACATTTGAATTTTCTTATACAGGTTCTTGTGGCCTTATTTTTTACTGAAACTTGACTCTTCTATAAGTTTCTTCCGTTTTCTGTAGTTGTTGGTAAGTATGTGTGCATTTATCTGTACATGTGAGTCTTCAAATTTCAGCAACTTAATCCCCATGACTGTGGGCTCGCTTTCCTATGAAATAAAAGAGCAATTTAATGTGTACCCAGTTTCACATACTGGGGACATTCTCACCTCTCAGCTGATGTAATAACGACTGAACAGGGAATGTGAATCCCCTCACTTTGCCACAAAAAAATGACCTTTAGGCATCAACCATTCATTAACAGATCTGCATTGATGAGGGTATGTATTAAATTACTATTAGTTGTTCTTACTTTTGCGTCCCTGGTGTTTTTTAGTTACTTGTCTGAAATATTATAAAGTAAAAGTTTTGAGTATTCTTCATAAAGAAGTTTAAATAAATATTTTATTTTTGAAGAGAATTCTTGGAATAATAATATTAGTGACATAATTTGATTAGCTTAGTGAATCTCTGAACTCTAAGAGCAGTCCCCAAGACATTAATAATTATAATTCTAAAAAGAAAAGAAGTTAGAAGTTCAAGTAAAATATCCATTACTTACTTTCTTAGTCTTTCCACACTTAAATTTTGTATAGTATGCAATTTACCTTTTTATCACCCAACTTTCTAGGCAGACAGAGACATAAACTAAAGTCATTTGTAAAAACTCTCCAGTATTTTGGTACACAGCCTAAGTTGGAAGTTAAATACAAAAGGTAATTATTATTTTCTTGGAATATAGGACATAGCTATTTTTCTTTGATCACAAAATGTGTGTCAGGCAAATATATGTTGACCAATTAATTGTACCTTTCTAGAATCATTTTATCATGGGGGCTTTTACCTTCTGAATAAATTATTAGCCTTTACAGTTAAAGTAAAAAATAAAATTAAGCAACCAAATAATAATAAAGTAATCCCCTAAATGTGAATGTCTATAAGGTTAGAAGATCATACTAACCCTTGTAAATGTGCAGGTGTAATTACAGACAATAAGAACTTTTGTTTCTATGTACATGGTTTAAAATAATATAAAACTTCTCTCAGAAACCAGCTGTTATCTTAACTTTTTTTTTTTTTTTTTTTTTTAGCATGGAAGCCCCTGTATAGATTTACATTTTATTGTAGCCTTAAGAGTGGGGATAAATATATGGTTTTAAGTTTTACCAAGGATCCAACCTTGAATAAATTCAAGTTGGCAGAAAAATGACCTCCAGCAAGAGATTGCTTCTAAATCAACTGGGTGTGTTTATCATCTAAAAGTTTAATTTTGCTTTGGACTCCATGGTTAGAGTATATTTTGGTAACATTTTTATTTGTTTTCTACTTTTTTTAAAAAAGGGTTGTTCTTACTTTTTGCAACCCTGGTGTTTTTGAACTCTTTTGTCACCCTATGTCTCTCTCATATATGCAGAAGGCTTACAATTATAATATTTAAAATAAATAATAGTTTTACTTGATGGGGCTGGCTTTCTAAAAAGATTTTGGTTACTCTCAACTGAAGTTTTAGTTTGGATTTAGATACTTTTCTTGTTGTTGTTGTTGTTTTGTAATGGGATTTTTATTTACTACTTTACAATATAGTAGACAGTAGATTCAAAAGTGATGATGACATAGGGGGGCTTTATACATTAATTTTATGCTCAAATATCATTGGATTGCATGAAGAGATATTGGAAGGAATTATAGGTATTCATTAATGCTCAGAGTCAGTTTTGAGTGAAAAAAATAACTACTATGAGTAATGTATGGCAAGATTACATCCTCTAGTCTCTGTACAAATTTCAAACTCAGAAACTAATATGTAACCTTCAGTTAACTTGAATACCAGAGTTGCTTAGATTGAAATAGTGACAGGTCCATGGAATATGCACAATTCCAAATGCAAGCATACTTTCTTTCACATAAGAATGAGGGGGAGGGAGGTAAGGAGGTATGAGTATGAATAGTATGACCTAGAACTGGAATCATCAACAGTAATGTATAAATCAAAGTACAGGATTTACAGGACTATGAAGATGAGTATGCGTTGGACTCAGTCTGCAAATAAGTCATACACTAATGAATAAGATATGCACACACACACTTTATTCATTGAAGTAGGAGCAAAGAAACCTCAAATTCTGGTTTAAGCACACAAATATTTTCCTTGTGAAATTAGGCACATTCCCTAAGCATTTTTGCCTCTGTACCTTCAAACTATCAGAGTTTTTGTAAGGATCAGCCAACATAATGAATAAGAAACTTGTATATTTCTAAGTAATCTAATGTACAATTAATCATTGTAGTATTCTAGCAGTTAATTTTCAAGATTATTTGTGTGTGTGTGTGTGTGTGTGTGTGTGTGTGTGTGTTTCTCTCAGCAAACAGTAACAACAAGAAAAAAGATTTCTAGTCCAAACAGTGAAAGTTTCTACCTGAGCAGGGTCATGGACCAATTTCCTTTTATCTTACAAGTTGTTTAAAGGTTGCACTCAACCTTAAATATCAGAGCATGGCTATTGAAGCCATAAATGTAAAAGGCAAAGGCAGCCATTACTTCAAGAAGCTAAAGCATACAAAGTACTTCTTCCCGTTGACCTGGTAAATGGAAAAAAATTCAAAACTTGTTTATTGTGCTCCTTGATGGAGATGAAATTGACAGGAGGTGTAACTTTTCCGTGGCTTTTAGAGTGTAAACATTCTCAGGCCATGGCAGATGTGTAGTTCCCATTACTTTGAAAAGTCATTCATTCTAATGCTCAGTGAAAGGACGGGTTTCAAACAGAATTAGGCACCATTTCCTGAATCGGGGGAAGACAGTGTGTGCAATGAAGCGCATCATTCAAACGCGAACCCAGCTAATGAATGCTCTCCCTGTGGTTTTCATGGATGTGTCAGAATGAGCCTTTTCTGAATCTGCATCACTGGATCCTTATGGGAATGCAAATTGTTTTCCCAAGGACAATGACTTTCCTTTTTGCTTTATCATTTAAGGGACTGATTTCTTCAACTTTGCTGCACACCACTGGAATCCAGAGAAGGTCATTAAAATGGGATGAGCAGTTGTTATTTCTTTAGAACCTCAAGTCACTGTCTGAGATGTGACAGCGATACATAGAGAGAGACACAGAATAGTCATGTGAAGAATGGGAGAATCAGAGAGACTCTCAAAAAGAGAGAAGAAATAAAGTTAGAGTCAGAGTCAAAGATGAGCTAATAAAGAAGGAGGGTTGAGAGAGAAACTGACATACACAGAGAGAGAAAGAAGAGTCAAGTCAAGCCGAAACTGGTTTGGCTCAGTGGATAGGTCTGTGGACTGAAAGGTCCCAGGTTTGATTCCGGTCAAGGGCATGTACATTGGTTGCGGGTACATCCCAGGTAGGAGGTGCACAGGAGGCAGCTGGTGGATGTTTCTCTCTCATTGATGTTTCTCGGTCTCTATCCCTCTTCCTTCCTCTCTGTAGAAAATCAATTAAATATATATTTTTTAAAAGAGTCAAGTCAGAGTCAGATAGACAGAAATGAACAGAAAATAAACAAACAAAAAATAAACAAACAAAATAACCACACAGACTGGCAGAAAGACAGTTGTTTGAACAAGATATATAGATGGGGAAAGGGGGACAGAGACAAAAAGACTAAAGACAGAGATCAGAAAGAGGGATTGAGAAAGACAGACAGACTATAGACAGGTAATCAGGTAGGAAGAGAGAGGAGGAGAGATCCTGTGATGCAGGGAGAAATGAGATACAGAGTGTGTGTGAGACCATGAGAGGAGAGCAGAGGCAACTGAGTTCAGTTCTGCTCTAGTTCCTTACTAG